ACCAAGTTCATTGAATTTTCTGTGGATCCACTTGTCATTAGAAAATTGATCAAATAAGAGAGCACTCACATAGGTTATCCTAAGTTTTAAATGAGATGTGCAGGTAAAGCATTGAGCCCCATGTCGGGCACATAGTGAATGCTCAGTACACATTAGCTCTTATAGTCCATCACTGTCAGCATTTTCATTATCTGCCTTATTCTCTTAAACAACTGCATAACCTTTCATGGTATGGGTGGACACATATATTTATTTGTCCCACAATTGATGAACATGAAATTGGTTCCAATATTTATTATTACAAAAAGTATTTTGGGGGCCAGCCCGGTGGCACACTGGAGAGTGTGCCGCTTGGGAGCGTGGCGGCGCTCCCACCGAGGGTTCGGATCCCATGTGGAGACCGGTTCCCGCTCACTGGCTGAGCGCGGTGCGGACGCAACACCGAGGGTTGCGATCCCGTTACCGGTCAGTAAAAAAGACAAAAAGGAAAAAAGAAAAAGAAAAAAAAAAAGAAATTTGCCACTATACTTTTTTTTTTTCCTTTTTGTCTTTTTTACTGACCGGTAACGGGATCGCAAACCTCGGTGTTGCGTCCGCACCGCGCTCAGCCAGTGAGCGGGAACCGGTCTCCACATGGGATCCAAACCCTCGGTGGGAGCGCCGCCACGCTCCCAAGCCGCGCACTCTCCAGTGCGCCACCGGGCCGGCCCGACCACTATACTTTCTAAATGTCCACTCCAATTTGTTAATACGTCATAGATTAGTTTGAGGATGCTTTCGGACTCTCCTGTTGAGAGTTTTACACATTAAAATCTCTTTAAGGTCAGGAGTTAAGTGTGCATAGTTACAAAAGGCGTTTAGCCACATAGGATAATAATACGATTTTATGGTCCAGGTTAAGAATTCCCTTCCCAGTTACAAGGGCCAAAGAATGCACCTTGGACCCAAAGAAAAACTGCCTAAAGAGTGAGAAACGCACCTACTGTTCACATCCCAATATGGAGGTGCCAGGGGGAAGAAAGATAAAAGTAAGAAAAAGAAACAAAAAGGTTCCTAAAGACAATTCACACATCACATAAATGCACCTTCCTGTGTCTGAAGCTACTCATATGCCTCTGTGTTTCCATATTTAGGCCTATCTTTGCAATATCTTTGATCATAGAAGGTATATGTAGAGTTCATTATTTAAATGGGTATTTGCAAATGATATGTTTTCATTTGCAACATACAGCATTTCAAATCATCCAGACAGCACAAACCCTCACTTAGTCCACCCATTTATGTGACTTTGAAACTGTAAAAATAAAGCCTAACTTGATGACCACATGTCCTTGTAAATGTAATTAGAAGTACAAGGCATGAAGCAACCACAGGGCAGTTCTAGCTGAGTTAAACCTGTCTACTTATCTAAAACATTACCCTGTTTCATTTGAATCATATGTGTCTTATTTTTTTAAATGTATTCTATTACTATCAAGTATAGAATTATTTTCATGTTGTGTTTCTTTTCTATTAAAAGAAAATATTACATCTGTATGGCTTTATCAAGGTTTTATAAAGAATGCCAACATGTCCAGTGCACATCAAAGAATGCCACACAAGTGTCTTCAAAACCAAGTAAATATATTGTGTTTGAGTTTGTACATTAGTGAAGATACCATTAGCTGACATAATGCATAAACCCTCATATCTCAGATCATAAAGGAGTTTGTCTTAAAGGGAGTTTATTTTTCTCTTATATGAAGTCTAAACTGAGTATTCCTGTTGAGTACAGTAGCTCTCTTTTAAGCGGGAGCTTGGAAACCCAGACTCCTTCCATCCTGGGAGTCTATCATCCTCAACTTGTGGTTAAGGTCGCCATGCTCACTTGCATCAAGCTGGTGAATGAGGAAAGATTATGATGGATAGCAAGCTGGAGGTTTTGACAGCCCTGCCTGGGAGCTGGCATGCATCACTTCTGCCAGCACATCTTTGGCTGGAATCAATTATATGGGCCCATGCAACTGCAGCAGGAATGGGAAATGTCATCTAGCCTGTACCTAGGAGAACAGAGACACCCTTATTACTAAGAATAGCAGTGTTGGCGTCTTGTTAAATCAAATTAAATAATTGAAACTCTTTCATAAAAAACTTAAATTGAACATCTGAGAATGAACATTTCTCTCTTTGTGATCACATTAGATATTCAAAACTAAGACTATTTACTCATGTTTTCTGACACTCTCAAAGAAATGCTCCTTAAAGAGGGGGTGTGCTATGGTAGAAAAAACAATGGACCTAGATTCGTGATACATGAATTATTTTCTCTGCTACTAATTGCTTCAGTGACCTAAGGCAAGTCACTCCCTGAGCTGCACTTTTTCTCATCAGTAGGTTAGAGCATTAAATTAAACTGTTGCTAGAGTTCCCTACAATTAAACAAGGATAACACTTACATATATACTGTGTATATGTATGTGTATATTTATAAGCTTTATTTTGTACTCTTTGGAGGTTGTGTTACAGGATCTATCTACATGATAAAAATTGAATCAATTTGGTAAAAACATAATTCGTGCTGTGATTTCTTAGGATTTTACTTCTCTGATTCTTGCTTTTATTACTTTACCCAAGATTAGATGTGGTTACTACTTCATAATAATTTAGTCCTCACATTTGCAACATCAAAATGGTTTTACACCTGTAATTCCACTTGGTTCTCAAATTTGTAAGTCATGTGAGCCAGATTACCAGTCAACATTTATTGTCCCAGCCACAAAAGGTTCCTGTGACAGATGGGGAAACAGGCCTGGAGTACTGAAGTGATATTTTCCCTCCAAGTTCACACAGCTGGTAGTGATGGAGCTGTAACTAGAATTCAGACCTCTGCCTCTTAAGTCCGAGTTCAGATCTACATGTGTTCCAGCCTGCAGGAGTCTCAGGAGCTGAGGTTGGCTGGCAATCTTGGCAAGGACTCAATGAGCCAGTGGGCAGCCGGTGTCAGGTTTTTCAGGCCCTCTTTGGCCCTTCTCTCTCAGCACTTTCTCTGCCCTCTGGTTCTGGAGTTGTTAACTCTGCTAAAACCTGGTATCAACCCTCAAGGCTGTTCTTACTTTGAGAACCTGAATTGAACATTTACCATGCGCCACAGGTTTTACACAAGCTGTTTAAATGAATACTCCTGACAGCCTCGTGAGGTACAAAGCATTATCCCATTTTACAGTAAGGAAACAGGTAAGGTGAGGCACAGCAATACTTAATGAGTGGCAGGGTTGTCGTTTAAACTCAGTTCTATTTTACTTCAAAGTTTCCCAAATATCGTCCTCTTTGTTTCCACAGAATTAACATCGGAATCTCTGGGGACAGGCAATACAAATGTCTTTTCAAGATTTCAAGTTACTTCCAAAGACCTGAGGAGAACGTCCATTGCTCTCCGTGAGCTCTTTCAGTGAACAGAGTCTGGAAGCCCTCTGTTAACGTGCGCGCGTGCTCGCGCTCTCCCTCTCTCCCTCTCTCCCTCTCTCTCTCTCTCTCTCTCTCTCTCTCTCTCTCTCTCTCTCTCTCTCTCTCTCTGACTACATTTATTCAGGACTCAGCTTAGGAAAGCGTGGCATTAGGACAGACTTCCCTGGGTTTGCTCTGCTAATTACTCTCAGTGTAATCTTGGGAAAGTCATTTATGGTCACACTGCATGGACATTTCCTGTTTAAATGTCACAATCCTGCATTAATCCTGTACTTAAGGCCAGAGAATACTTTTATATTGTCTGTAGTTATCACGTGATAGGTGATTCACACCTGTTTTTCTGGGTTTTTTTCTTTTTTCATTGTTGAGTTATATATGGCCATTCTGAGACCATTCTGGGCCCAGGTCATGCCACAATGTACCCACGTGGCTCCCCATCAGTCACTTCAGCAAAACAGCCACAATTCAGAGAGATGCAGCATCTATCTGAGGTAACTTACCTTCACTGTCCATCCAGGTACCTCTTAAACAAAGCCTCAGTGGAATTAAATCCACATATCTGTGGGTTGTGGAGAGCAATGACACATCCCGTTTGTCTGGACTGCTTCTCTCCCATCTGTGGCTCTGAGACCTCTGCTGCAGGCCTGTCTGCTTACCACTCTCTTTCTGGTAAGTCTCATCAGGAATCCAGTTATTCTTTCTGCAAGTTCCTCGTGTTCTCATCCTCCTCTGATTTATGTATTTTATTTTCTTTACCAACAATGACTTGTTGAGGGTAGGGGCGATTTCTCACTCATCCTTATGTCCTTGTGATGTCGAAGGTAGGATCCAGGGGGCTGGTAGTTGGCCTAAACCCACCCAGTCCTCTTACCAGGTTCTTGACTCTGCCACAGGAAAGAATTCAAGGGCAGAGTCATAGTAGAACGTGAGAACAGGGTTAATATAACAGATAAGAAATACAGGTTCCACAGAGAGAGTGCGGCGTAGCTCCAGAGACTGAGCAGGACCCACATCAAGTCTAACACAAAAGCAAGAAACACATACTTAAAGTTCAGTACAGAGTGCAGGCTGGCTCCAGAGAGTGAGCAGCCACTTGCTGAAAGTAAGTTAGATACAAAGTAAAGTACACACACCTCAGCCAGGAAAGTGAGCAGCACCAACCCTGCCTTTGGCTGGGATTTGGCTTTTATAGTTTTTCTATCTGGTGAATATTCAATTAAGGGATTGGTTCCCAGTTGTATGCACCAGAATGTTCTGTGTTCTCTACTGAGCATGCCCAGCCACTCAGCTGCATAAACCATCACCCCCCCAACCCACCCCCGCCGTTGTCTCATTTTCCCCATGTTGGTGCTAAGAATAGGGCTAACTGACAACAGTAACTTTCCTCCAGGGGAGAGCTCAGAGGAGGGGGCCTGAGGCCTCAGGGAGTGGCTGGAAACCCAGAGGCATGTCCTAAACCCGAGCCCAGGAAAACTGAGCAAATCGCTTCACTTGCAGCCCATTGAGGGTCCCGGCATACGCAGCTGCTTCATCAGTGCACACAAGATCGAATGAGTTCAACACAACACTCTTCTATCCTTTCCCCAGCCAGGCAGCTTCTCCTCAGAGTGCCAAGGAAAGACACTTGATCCTGAATCAGATGAGATCCAGGGTTCTGGCTGGCACCTTGCTCTAGAGAAGTCGGTCCAGGCATGGGCCAAATTTCTTACCTCAGCATCAGACCAGTTCCTCAGCTTCCAGAAGTATCCATAGCAATTGGACCTGTGGACAAACCATCCAATGGTGCAGCTGGGGCACATGATGGTATCTGCACATAAACGGAAAGGCAATTCCAGGTTATGAAAGCAAAAACAATCAATTCCCAGGCTCGATGCAGTTTACAGATCCAGAATCCTTAAAATGAAGGGGAAGAAGAGTCTTGTCAGGAAGGACCCTGCTACACAGCTGTATTAGTGCATTTCTGTTGCTTATAACAAAATACCTGGAACTGGGTATTTTATAAAGAAAACGAAATTTATTGCTTACAGTTTCTGAGACTGGGAAGTCCAAAGTCCAGGGAACACATCTGATGAGAGCCTTGGTGGTGGCAACAGTGACGGCAGAGTATCACATTGTGAAAAATGGCAGAGCAGAGAGGGACTAACCTCCATATTCACTCTCCTTTTAAAGCCCTACAAACCATGCCTCTGACCACCATTTTTAGTCCATTCACTGCAGCATGGTCCTACAATCTAATCACCTATTCAAGGAACCACCTTTCGATTACCATAACAGGATTTCCCACCCTCAACAGTTACAGTGGGAAGTAAGCTTCTAATATATGAACTTTGGGGGACACAATTCAATCAACCCACAGCAACAGCCAAAAATTTATATTGCTAATCTTTCTCCCAACCTTCCCCAAAGGGACCTACGGCCTTTTACCAGAGTGACTATGCATTGTGGAAGAGAAAATAATCAGACTTTTCCAGAATTCATGACAATGACTCTGAACTGACATTAATTCCAGGAGATCCAAAATGTTACTGTGTTTGTACCAGAGTAGGGGTCATGGAAATCAGATGTTCCATGGATTTTTAGCTTGGTCTGCCTCACAGTGGATCCAGTGAGTACCCTGAATCCACCCTGTGGTTATTTCTCAGTTCTGGAATGCATCATGGGAACAGACATACTCAGCAGCTGGCAGAATCTCACATTGGTAGTGAAGGTCAAACAGCTGTAATTCAAGGCAGCGCAAGAATGGGTGAGGGGTATAAATTGGTTGTTTTAGGCATTACTAGGGGGGAGAAGTCCTTTTGGCTTGGGGACATGGGACAAGTTAGATGGCAGCTTTCCTGGATCTTGAACGTAGGTGGGCGTATGTCAGTAGCAAAGGGAGGGAACATTTTAGGCAAAGGAGCTGAGCTGGGCAAAAGAATGGAGGCAGAAATGTGCTAGACATGCACAGAAATAGAAAGCACTTAAGTGTGCCTTGGGTACAGGGTATCTGTCAGGTACCCACGAGGGAAAGGAATAAGAGAGAGTCAGGGCCTAGAAGCAAAGGAGGCTGTGATTCAGGCAGGCACACGTTCTTCCTGCTAGTCAAGTGGCGACTGGGCCACACTACTGAATCTGAAGGTATATGAAGAAGAGGAGATGTCTGGAAGTGCAGAGGGACCAGTGATGAAGGGGATGCCAAGATAGCAAGTTTGGATTTTGTGACAAAGTGGCTACACTCTAACACCATATAAGGTTGAGTTTTGTTTGATTCTGGAGCCCTTAAACTTTTCACCACGTCACACTGTTTTTTATTCCTGTCTTTAAAATCTATTTCCTGCAGTGACTAAATGTTTTGGGGGGCGAATGGATGGCTGTGTCATGTGCACTGCATGAACATTGACTGTGGGCTCAATTCTAGCTAAATGCCTGATAAACTACACAGGACTCCAGTGCCAGCTGCACAGCTCAGCAGTAGGCGCAGCCGCATGGTTTGGGAAGCCGTCTTCCTCTTCCCCTGGGGACACAGGTGCTTCGGACACCTCTACTGCAAGGATCTCAGAGTCCTTGTTTTCTCTGAAATTCCTGGATTCACCTAGATCTGCAATCTGAACACATTTGCACTGGAGAGAAGGTCTGGGGATTTGGACAACAAATCACACAAGGAGAAAAAGAATATTTTTCTAACTAAACCCAGATTTTACAATGAAGGGAATCTCAAGTTAATGTAGAGATTAGGAAAATTTAACTTATGAGATTTTGTTCTCACCTGTAAGGACTTCTGGACCAGTGCCAGAAACCTAACTACAGCAGGTACCACTGTTTCATAATCAGAATAGAGGCAATTTGTTAACTACAGAGCCCACCACTGCTATTTAGAGTCCAACGCGAGCTTTCTCACAGATGAGGTGGTCCTGGGCTTTCTACAGTCAAGAAAATCAAGTCAAGTGACATACGCTTTGTATATCAAGTGATTTCAATATTAAATTTTTAATGTTAGAATTAAAAGTGAACATGTGGTCCAATACCCACCTTACACAGATGAGAAAACCTGAGTTCCATGGATATGAAGTCATTTGCTCGTCTACAGTCAAGAAAATCAAGTCAAGTGACATACGCTTTGTATATCAAGTGATTTCAATATTGAATTTTTAATGTTAGAATTAAAAGCGAACATGTGGTCCAATACCCACCTTACACAGATGAGAAAACCTGAGTTCCATGGATATGAAGTCATTTGCTCATTGTCACCAGCTTCAGCCACATCTGACTTCAGTTCAGCACTGTTTCCTTCACACTTGGTTCACATCACTTCTTTTTTCAAAAAAAGAAAATAGCCTTGTTATCTTTTTCCTCTTATCAAACAATACATGAATTATTAAAAGATCAACACAAAACTAGAAAACAAAAAGTAAATCCCATCTCCCAGAGATAGCATCTCTCTCTGGGTACAATTTTATAGGAATAGGATGATATTCATATAATTCATATTGGTTTTGTTTCTCAAAAACAGATTGACCATAATGAATTTTCCTGCACTCACGTATTTTTATGCAGTTTTGATTCTCTACTATAAATTCATATATGCAGGGTTGCAGCATCACAGAATAATCACATGGCCATTTTCATACCCTTTACTGAAATGTTCTCTTCACTGGCTGTGCTGTACAGTCCACTAGCAGTGCACGGGAATGTTGTCTTTCCCAAACCCCTGATGAACACTTAATTTTGTTCATTATTTATTTATTTATTTATTGCTAATTTTGGTGTGTTAAAAAGACCTTAGTGGTGTTTACTATTTTAAAATTACTAATGAAGCTGAATATCTATCTTTTCACGTCATGATTAACTTTTCATATTTCAGTTTACAGCTTTTCACATTTTTCTATTTTATTGTTTTTTTCCAGTAATTTGTGAAAATTCTTTTATATATTTATGGCTTATCCTGTTACTAATAGTATTCCCCAGTTTGTATTTTTTCTCTTATTTACACTATGTTTTTTGCTATTGTGAATTTTCCGAAAATGTTATTGTCATATTTAAGGTTTCCCTCATAATTTTGAAATTTATATTAGATAGACTGGCCATCACTGTCACATGAGGTTAAAATATTTATCCATATTGCCTTCTGTTTTCATCTATATGGGATTTATTTTAATGTAAGCTTGGAATCGTGTTCTGGGTTTTACACCCAAATAATTATTAAGATGAGTAATCCATTGACTTCTTATTTAATCATGCTTTATGATCCAAAAATCAGGATACGTGGTTTAACTCTCAAATAACATATTGCTTAAAGGGAATGATGGAATGTAATAATTTAAATGAAGATTTTTTCTGGAGAATCTAATCTGGAGTGTATGTGAACACTTTACTGCAGTGTTAACAGAGAAGGGGGCTCAGGGTGAAGAGTGTGGAGCTGTGCCCCCTCACACCCCATTTTAAAGTCATTGCATGAACCCTGCACTCCTTTGCTGAACTTTCCTTCCAAAAGTCATAGGGGATTTTCAGTGTCCTAAAACCCCTTTTAAAACACAAATTGTTAGGACTTCTCTGTCAAACTGACTGTCTGGAGGAAGGGAGGTACAGCATCTGTTTGAATAACCTGAAATGATCTTTAGTGAACTGATATTTATTGAAAGCCTACATGTCATCTCATTTAAACCTCATAACTAGACTGCATTGCAGGTATCAGTAATTATTTTGCAGATGAAGAAACTGACATTCATTGAGATTAACTAACTTTCCCACAGTTTCATGGTTGTTATACTACAAAGACATGATTTCACCCAATACTGTTCCACACCAAAGCCAGTGCTCCCTACAATGAAGGAAGAAAGAAAATAAATAAATAAAACAGCCCAGCAACAAAAAGCATGAGTAACATAATCAGGTTATAAGTTGTCCTTTCTGTCTGGTTAATAGCTGGCAGAGGAAAACAGATCTTCAGGGAAAGCTTTTCGCCCCCAACCGCGGGGAGAATTACCTGGTTGGCAACCGAGGCTCTGAGGACCCCTGCCTTCTTCAGCATCTTGAATGTCCTAGTCAAAGTTCTGGAGCAGTTGTATCTTCTTGACTCAGGAATTAATAACCTTTGTTTTGAGATCATAGGGCAATAATATTTTCAAATAATAATTCATCTACAAAAGGCTTACCTACAGTAAAAAAAAAAAAATGAACCAGGTAAGAGATGGCTTAGGAGTATATGTAAGTTGTGCTTTGAATAGCAAGAGAAAGAACCTCTTCCTATGTGCAAACAGCATCTGTTATTTACATCCCATGTTATCAAAACTGACAATATCCTGAGATCTGTTATAAGCTCATCTTCCTCCCCCCTTATTTTACTTTTTCTTTTGTCTCTCTTTTTATTTCTCCTTCCTTTCTACAAAGATGCCCCATTTCAGCCCTGAAGAATCATGTTTCTAGCCTTACAGAAAGGATTGGCAGTCAGGGCCCAGTGTAGGTTGTGACCCGTGTGGCATGACTTGAGGTGTATGTGCAGACTTTTTCCTCCCTAAAGCACCAGCTCTCTCCCCAGCATTCAGCAGGTTCTTGCATATCTACTACTGGAGTTCCTCTTACAGGCAATTATGTCAAAAGAGCTTTCATTGATAGAATATTTTACAACAAAGGGTTTTCCCCTAAGTCATCAAATGAGATCCTAACAAAATCCCTGTGAGGGATGTAGGAAAGGCACCCCCATGACATACTCAAGAAACCCGATGTTCAGAGAGATTAGGAGACTTGCCAGGGCCACAGTGCTGGTCAGTGGTGGAGCTGGACAATGAACCCAGGTCTCTGACTCCAAACCTGGTGTTGAATCACAGTCTTGTTGAAAAATGGGCTATTTGGAAAGGGTAACAAGATTCCCTTTTCTAGCGTAGATGGCAAAACATGAAACTATGTTGTAGGTGCCAGAGATCATTCAACCACTAACTACAGACTGAAGACTGTAAAGGACCTCTACGTCTGGAAAAGACTATGGTAATTATCAGACCTCACTCTTTTGCTCTGCTGGTGAGGAACCTGAAGCCCAGAGAAGTATCATGAATAGTTCAATTCACAGTTAGTTATGGGTGAAGCTGACATCAGAAGCCAGGCTTTCTAGGTCCCATCCTAGTGTTGTTATTAAAATGCTACTCAGTCTTTGTCATTGGACTTTTCCAATCTGTGTATAAATTCATGGTGGTACATGAGAAAGTCATGCTTTCATGGTTTACAAAGACTACTTTAGAGACCCTTTTTCATTCTGATACTGCTCTGGGGGAAGAACACAAAGTTTGGCTTCCTACAGATCTTCATTCGCGTCCTAGTTCCGTTACCCACTCACTGGGTAACATTGGACATGCCACTGAATCTCTGAGCCTCA